TCGCTTCGCCAGCCGAGGCAAAGAAGTGAAGGGGGCTCCAGCTCCCGCACCCCTTATAGAAACCCTTACAGATCCCTTTGAGAAAAAAACCCTTCGGGGAAGTTTAGGGTTTAGGGCTCCGGAGTCGCAGCTCCAGGAGGGGCCCGATGCACGTGGCCGCCGAGGCTTGGGGCTTGCGGGCTTAATGTTTTGGGGTTTAGGGATTTCGGGGAGGAGAGGCGGTTTCGTTTTGAGGGACACCAGAGCGGTGTTATAGAGGCTATGAGCGCGGCCTGCTTTGCTGGAGATATACAGCCTGAACTTTAACCCTCCAGCGAGTTGTCGAAGCTGTGGGAGCCCCAGGAGGCCCCAACCTCTCTGAGCGCCTGCTTGCAAAAGGAAAGCTCTACATCGAAAGGATGTGCCTTCCACTCGCATGAAGCTTTGTAACTCTCACCCCTACATCCTGAGCCCTCATAGCTCTAAACTTCAACTCCTGAAACCTAGGCCTTCAATCCTCAGAGGCTTCTGCAGACGTGAGGGTGTTGGTTCTTTCGGGCAAGCCTACAAACCTGGCGTTCCAAACTCCCGCAGAGCCCCAAACCCTTAAAGCCCTCAACCCTAAACCCCTAAACCCATCTAAACCCTTATAAAGCCCTATAATATAAAACCCCCCTATAAAGCCCTAGAAGCCCCTCCCCCTGGGCTCAGCTGTTCTCCCCCCTCGGGCCTCGAAGCTTCGGTGGCAGGGCAGGGGCCCCCCTTGGCAGCCGCAAGGCCGAGACTTCTTTTTTTGGGGGGGGCTTGTAGGGTTTGTAGGGCTTGTAGGGTTTAGGGGTTAGGGTTTATATAGGAGCTTGAAGAGGGGTTTCTTTTCGTGTCTTTTTTCAGAGTGGTCTACGGCTACGGGCCGTAGGGAGGGTTTCTTTCAGCTTGACTGCGGCACGCGGCAGTTGGGCGAGCTGGGCTCGGCCGCGGGCTTGGGGAAAGGCGGTTTTCTTGTCGTCCAGGGCCAGGCGCCGGGCCTTCTACGCACTTTTGTAGGCTGGTTGCTTGGTCTTCTCAGCCCATGAAGCACGTCTGCAGCACCTGAGCCGAGATCGTCAACCTCCCAAGCCTCCCACCTCCGAGGCACTGAGGGTCCCGTAACAAGCTGAGCGCCCGGGCGCCCCCCCAAAGGAACACTTCCGCAGCCGCTTTCTCGACAGCAGCCGAGGCGAAGAAGTTTAGAGGAGGAGCTCCTCGGACGCCACGGCGGCGCAACTCCGAGAGGAGGAGGAGGTCCCGGCATCCCTTCCGAGGGCTTGTGGGCTTGGGCTCAGAGTTCTCTTGGAAACAACTTTCCCTTGAGGGCGGTTGTTGGGGAGGTGGGGGCGGCTTCTTTGGAAGGAGTGCTGGCGCGGTGTGAGTGCTATTAGGATGCGAAGGTAGAGAAGTGCGCCCAACAAGGACCCCCCCTCGGTTTTGTTGGTTGTAATTTTTCATGGCGGAAATTCAGACTTTTTTGTTCGGACCGTTCCGGAAGTGAGAAGAGCCGTCGGAGCCCCCTCGCAGTCTTCCCAAGCAGGGGCAGGTCTCTCTTCCACCACCCTGTGTTGCAGAAGAAAAATTAGGCCCACTTCGAAGGCATGTGCTGTGCATTTAAACTTGCCTTGACCTTTAAATCTTCAAATCTCATCCCCAGCTCTTCAGCTCTGAACCATAGTTACTCACCCCCCCAACTCCCGTACCCTAAAATCTGAAGCCCCCAAAGGCCCTCTGCCTACGGGGGGAGCTTTTCCCCCCTGGGATTCCAGGACCTCGCGCGCGTCGCAGCTCGCGCTTCGCCGGTCAGGCGCCTGACAGATGGTGGCTGTCCACTGTAGCAAAAGAAGGGTTGCCGTGACACTTTCTATAATCAGTCTATAAATATCGATGGTACTCTTATACTTATACGACGGTGAATGTGGTGCATATGCCATGCGCTTGTAACATTTTCTTCGCGGCCTGCTCGTTGTGCTTGTCTTCCGCCTCCGTCAGAACGCAGCGCGGAGTGCTGAGGGTTTGCAGCTTTCAGCCTGTCCGCCGGTTTTGTGGATCGAGCGCATCGCCGATCAGAAAACAGCTGGGCGTGATGGTCCTCCTCCAGACATGGGTCAATGGCACGGTACCGGTGTGTGCTTTTGACTCTGACCGTCAGGCCATGCCCTTCATATCCCGTCATTCTCGACAAGGACAGTTCTGAAGAATGGGCCGATGAAGGGACTCAGGACGTTCAGCATGCGCCTTGAGTCAAGCAATTCCGTACTTTTTGTCGTAGGTCATAAAGCCGATTGCGGGTGCTGGGGGAAGAGCCGTGGCAGCCAGGCAACAATCTGAGTGCGGCACTTGCCATGACCGAGCTCTCGAAAACAGGGAAAAGGAGTCTTGGGCTTTGGGACGCCTCCTCGAGCCTCTTTGGGCTTTGCATCATACCTTTTCCAAGTATTAGTGCCTCCCTTGAACCTGATGCTCTCTCCCAAAACATGCAGCTCCTCAAGTTCTTGACCCAGGGTTCGACAGTTTCGACATACCCGTCATCAGAGGCTGCTGTTGCTGCATCTTGCTTACCGCTCTGGGGCTTCAGGGGTAGATCAACCGCATTCGCGGCCAGAGAGCCTTTCAGCGAGAATCCTGTACAGTTAGACTACGTTGTCATACGTTGTCATCGACGGCCTCTACGACATATTTCACGGGCTTTGGTATGGACTTCCCAGCAAATCCATCCAGGCAAGCCTGCGCAGACAAATTCGGCACAACAGTCATTGTTTCGCGAAACTACCCCATTGCGTGACCTCTCAAGGCTCGGGGTGTGCCATTTGTGTCTATGTGAAGAACCCGTTTGGCATGCGAGCAACCACTCCGGCGTTTTGCTTGCGTCCAGTCACATCTAGTTTTGATCATCAGAAAGGCTCATCAAGATGAATTTCGTTTAATTTTGAAGCCACCCCCGAGCAAGCATGGCGGGGTCACCGGGGCAGCCTGCCTTGGAGGCCCCGGCACTTGCATCTTTTAGTTTGGGTCGGCACATCCATGGTGCCTCACAAGCCCTTACTCGGCTGACCACCTGCAGCGATACCTGAGAGGACAGCCTGCCTGGAATGCCGGAGCTTCCTGAGGAAGCCGCACCGGCCTCGGCACGACGTATGCGCAATTGCGGGTTCACCTGCATGGTGCAAGGATTCGTGTGGTCAAAACAGCATCTGTTTCTCAGCGGTTTGCCAGTCGCACGTGAGGCTCCTGCATCCGGGCAGCTGTCACTGCCCTCGCGCCACTCTCAGACGAGCGAGCCTTGATGAGGAGTCGATGCGCAAAGCCACCCTTTGCCGCAACACCCCCCCTCCACCTTAGCAGCAGATCTTCGAATCCTTCTTGCGTGATTTGGGACGGCAAGAACAAGTAATTAATAGTGATAGTAATAATAAAAACTGATAACAATTGGTGGTAATACTATCAACAGTAGTAACAGTGCAACAGTTCGGATCAGGCGCTTTCTCAGCCATGTGGTTTTAGGATGACCCGTCCGATAGAATCAAAGAAGTCTTTAAAGCGCAGGTGCAGTCTACACCGGTTCCGTTCTCCTTGTTGTTTATTATTGTAGTAGTAGTATCATTATGACTATTTTCTTATAGTAATACTAGAAATTCGTTCTTACTACTACCACGTTTGCGATCATTCTGACTATTCTTAGTATGATGAGTATTGTTGTTATTATTCTTTTTACTCGCATAATCATTGTTAGTATTTACTATAGATCCCCAGCAACAGAGTCCCTCAAAGGCGCCCCGCGGAGCATCGCCTCCGAGGCCCCGCTCGCTCTCTGCTTTCGTCATTTTGTCCTAGTCGTCTGCAGAAAGAGAGAGCCGCTTGCGAGAGGAACCTGGAGAGAACGAGAGAGAGAGAGAGAGAGAAGGCAGACGAAGAAGAAGAAAACGGAGAAGAAGAAGAAGAAGGAGCATAAGCAAGCGAAGAAACGAAGAGAGCTTTGCCGACCCACATCGACGGCGAGGCTAGGATGGCATGTCGCAGGAGGCACGTCTGCGGTTTCGAGGGCGGCCGAAAAGCTCCGAGGCGCAATCGAAGCCCGTGAAGTTCCACCAAAGAAGCGAACGAGAGCTCCCCTCCCCATACCAAGGCAGCAGCACCAAACCCCAAACCCCGAAGCGTCCGAAGGGCCCCGGAAACTCCAAAGCTCCCAGAGCTCGAAGAACTCGGAGGTTTTTTTTTCTCCCCCTTGCAGTCTCTCGGAAGTTCGTCCAAAATTAGGTTTCCATGCACACTTACTTCTCTCTTCTCCGATCTCCGACCTCGCCTACGAAGCGCGTGTTTCTCTCGCCCAACGCTCCGTGCTCGCCCTCCAATCCTGTTCCCATCGCATCCTCCCCAGAGGGTAGCAGCACTGTAGGCCCCGCCCCGCCAATCGTGTTCAGCTTCTCTTTCAGATCTGAGCTTCGCTCGCGCTGCGCATGTCGCAGCTGAGGGCCCTGCTTGCTGAGAGGCCTTCTGTCATGCCTCCAAGCCGAGCTCTAGCCCTAGCCCTTCCCCGAGTTGGAGACGCTCATGGCGCGAAAGAGTTGCGAAGGCGACCTGGCAGCGACCTCCATAGACTTGTCGGGTCTCAGGGCTCAGGCCGGCACGCGAGGAGTTTCGGTGCGGGGGGTCGGGGAGTCTTTTCGTCAGGGCTGCAGGTTCGTGGCAGTGTCCAGTTGCTGGCATCATACGGGTGGCTTGGGTTGGGCTGCTCTGGGCCAGGTTTTATAGGGCTTGGGAGGTAGTACGCATGGCACTCTTGTTTGGTGTGTCTCTCCGAAAGGGAGTGAAAGCCTGAACTGAGTTGGTGACACTTACTGAGAACCTCAAGGCATGTTTTGAGTCCTCCCTGTTGCGAGAGGTGTGCCACGTCGAGGACGTGATGCAGGCATGTGAACCCTGGCAACGATATCTGGTGCGTCCTGCGACTAGTGCCGTTTACCAGCAAAGGGCCCAGCTATCCGCCTCGGCAGGCGAGTAGGAGGATCCTGGGCGACGTGTGCCTGAAGCAGCTGGACCAACTCACGGCACGCTCGGAGCAGGCGTGCTGCACTGCCGGCAGCTGTGCCACTTCGCTGACTCTCCGACCAGCCACTCAACCCCGATGTTGAAACCGCTGTGGCTTCGCGCTGCAGGCCCCGAGCGCCGCTCAACTGCGGCAAGTTAGAGCGCTCGTGGAGGCACCGTGGCTGGAGCTTCCCAAGAAAGTGGCCGTGCCCCAACTGCCCGCACCGCGAAGGTGCAGGAGAACCTGCGAAAGACCTTGCAGGACACGGAGTCCCGTCTGCGGGACGGAGCTTCCTTGCAAACCTGCTGGTTCTGCCAGGTCCTAGGTGGATCAGCAAGTTGGTAAGGTTCTTCTTTCGCGAGTTTCGTTTGTATCGGAACCGCTGTGGACTTCTCGGTAGCTGGTGTTGCAAGTGGCAGCGAGGGTTCGTGAAGCTAGCAAAAAAGTCGAAGTGCTACCTGCTGCCTGCCGAAGTGCGAGACGCCACACGCCCTGCTGCTGCATATGCTACATATCCCGATTCCGAACCGCATCATCCCTTAATTAAAGGGCACCAGAACTAGTTAATTAGTGCTCGTGACAGGAACAAGCGGATGCATTCGCAGACCGCTGCAAGGCGGGCGGCAGCGTCCTAGGTAGAAAAAGCTTTCACGGACCGGTAAAGTCAGCCGAGAGTAGACCCAGGCCACCTGTCCGCTCTAGCGGCCTGAGCCAGGAGCAGCAGGGTTTGCACCGAAAGGAGCTCGAGGACTGTCTCAACCGGCTCCTCAGTCTTTGCGGGAAGGATGCTTCGCTCACCACCCGCCAGTTTTTTTCGCATGATACTGGGTTTCTTCCTCCATGCTCCACAAGCCTCGCAGGATCAGAAAGCTTCCTGCCAGCAAGCACTGGAGGACCTAGCAGTACGTTATGTCGTTTGTCACGGTGCCGTGCCCATGCTTGCCGT